GTCAACACGTCAACCGGATGAGAAGGTATTTCAAGTGGAATTCAACGTTGAGAAACCTGAATTCAACTCTGAGAAACCTGAATTCAACGCCCCGATAAGCTACCTTAAAACGCTTGCGTTAATTCAACAATTTACTCACAAAATCCGTGTAAAACCCTGGCAAAAGTTATTATCTAATTGTTTTAGTTCCCAACAACTTGTCTATATTCACTTTCTCTAGATTTCAAGAAGCAAAATATTTTCATTTTTTGCAAATTGTAGCAAAAACAAAAACACATTTAAGTTTAACTCGATAAAAGCACCGTTTTCAAACGAAAAAAATACCCCAAAATTCATATTAGATATAACGTCACAATTATTAAAATACTATTTATTAAATAGCTGCATGGTAGCGTAATACATTTTAAAGTTTGTCAAGTTCAATTCATCTACGTAAACAAAAATGAAGATAGCGGGGAGTTGAGCGGCCTTCTCCGTTTCTTGCAGAAAACTAAAGCTGTTTCGCTTGTCATTTTTTCTTGTATATTCCATGCCAGAACAAGTTATGGGATGGATTTTTCAATATTTTGCCTGCAGGTGCGAGTAACTCGGCACTTATGAAAAATGCTCGAAAACGAGAATCCTGCATACTTAATGCCGATTTTGTATGCCTTCCCGCGATGCTCTTCGGGTGTGCAGGCGAGCGTCATGGACTGGGTGTTCAGAACAGAGCTTTTTCTCAATCTGTATAGACTTTGATGATATGCAGTATAAAGCGTGGATTTCACTAGCGCATAAGCATAGRCATAAGCACGAAGCACAAGAGTCATATGMGGCAGTGAGAACGGGGTCAATATAAGCATAAGCATGAGCACAAGAAAAACGAACAAGGCTTATCTCATGCTTATGCTCAGTGAGAACGGGACTGCATAGGCATAGGCATAGCCTGGTACCGAAATAATACGCTCGTGCGCATTCTCAATGTCTTGTGCTTATGTCGAGCCCGTTCTCACTGGCGCATATGATTCTCATGATTGTGCTTATGCTATGCTTATACGCTAGAACAAACGCAATTCCCACAAAAATCGATGTTTAGGCACTAGTTCCTTTTTTTAAGAAACGAGTGGGCGACCTATAATCCCTAAAGCGGAGCGTTAATTGAAAATCAACGGTGCCAGATTCAAATATATGTTTACAATCTGTTTGGACGCTATCAACAATGGAACTAAGAGTTTCTTAATCCAAAGAGCACAAATGGATAATGAGGAATAAGGAATAATATGTTTTTTTTATAAATCTTTGGCTCTGGAGAAAGTATATTGCTCTGACGTATTATTGTCGTCATATTGACGTGCATTTTTGCATTTTGTATGATACTGAATGATTTTTTTTCACACCAAGGTTCGATGCACAACTTGAAAGTTATCCGATCGTTTCCATTGAAGAGAGACCACCATTAGACATGCGACAATAAATCCCTTCTTCCAAAACTATAGAAAATTGCATTTTCAACGATCGTCTTGCTTCGATATGTAAAAGCACATTTTCAATACAGAGAATATTTTTATTAAGTACAGTCGAGATTTGTCAGTTGTTATAATTGTTCACTCCTAAAAACACAATAAATACTCTTATTAGCTTTTGAACTTTTATTCGTGTACTTACTGGTTCCTTCTTTGACCGCTTYATTGCATTTTGCTTCATCTGTTATTTGAAAACGGTTAAATGTGAAGTCTTTGTCACGTCGTGMCTGACGGAATTTCTTCACTTCATTATTTCCATCCTTAAAGTAAGAAGCGCTYTCGCGTATCACCTTTAGATAAACGGTTGCCGGCATGTCGTCTTCTTCTTGAGTGTTGTCACCATACAATTCAATGTACATCTRAAATGATAACCATGTATACAAAATAATAAAGACAGGTTAGCGTCTACGTGTACGACAATATTATAGTGAAGCAATATTGCAGAAAGATCATAGATTATTCCTTGAGACAGAAGTAGCCAAATCAGCGCAAAGCGAAYATACTCAGMTGGTTTGCTAAATCCCGAGCAGGAAAAAATTAGTTTTCGGCAAAAACGTGCGATGTTCGATGAGCAAAATAGGCAAAGAAACAGACTTTATCTGGATTTAACACATCTGAACTCGTTTGATCCGCCATATTGGCTTAACACCATCAAACYATTTACATCAAAAGGAGTCATTGATTCATAGGGTACCCGTGCAGTACACCTCCCTAACAGTTTACATAAGTAGTGTAACGCGTACATGTTAATGTGTCCATGTTCCGTAGCTTGACCTCATTTTTTTTKAATAGTAGATGATGCTACTTTTTACCATGAGTTGTCTGGTAGCTCTATAGTCCAGTCCTGGACTCCTTTCGCCCCGCCCCAGGACTCGAGTGGAAAGAGAGTCCACTATAACTTGCATGTGCATTATGTCAGCTTTGTGACTTTGCACACATTGATGCGGTGATTGYGAGGTTGMAATTCTCTGTACAATAACCAAAAAGACTGATGAAATACCATTTCATCTGTGATTATTGGCACCTGGAAAAGAATTACTATTTTYCCTCGTCATTTGACAGGTTTGAATCATATTATAAGTTTAGAAGCGGTTTAGCTAGTCAACAAGATAACCACCCGTTAGCTATCGTTGGCATTTCTACGCTCAACACGGACAAAATCATACTTGAATAAAAAATAAATAAAAGCGGTTGCAACGGTCGCAACGTGTGTGACTATCTGATTGGATTGTTCTGCTCATACGCATGCAAGTTATACTGGACTCTCTTTCCCCGCGAGTCCTTGAGTCCTCGCTAGACTGCGCACGTGACAAATAAGCTAACACGTTGACAGGCAAAAGTGTGTTYATTCGTGTAATCATACAACTGATAATCGTCGAAATGGAGGGAGTCTTTTCTTATCTATGTTTAACTATATAAATGGCTTCTTTATCAAGTGAAAACATGCAATGCAAAGAGACGAAAATAGTGAAAATKTTAAGTGAAACGATCCAAACATTGTGATGACTTCAAAGTTCAAAGTTTTTCACTCCTCGTCGTCACTCTCGATTATGATACGTTTTAGTTTTTTCATCTTTAATGGTTACTGGGGCGTTGAATACTTGAAATGTGCAATTAAAAATTGCCAGTGAAGAAAGGAGAAACTTTTGGGTTTGCAGCCATTTGAGATTGAGTAAGTTCTCGATTTCCACTTTGTTTCCAATGCTTTCCAGGTATCTGTTCAAAATGTTCATGTCTGATTTTTTTTTAAGAATGTTTTTGGTTTCTGGTTGGCGACGAACGTTTCAATTTATTTTTGACTGTTAGAAACAGGTACTTCATCTTATAAAAGCTCGTCAGGATAATAAAATTATCCTTCTGAATGATAATCTTCGTCATCCATTCCTTGTTATATATTTTGTGTACTTTGCTCTAAAAATGTCAAATCTCRCGCCTTGAAAAAAAAAATGTCAACAAACGCGCGCTCGGGATATGACTGTCGGACCATGCATTGTCATGGGAATCGGTCGGAGATGGCAAAATATCGCCCTCGCGTGGGCCATATAAGGCTGATTTACACGGTAAGATTTGTCGCACGCGACTTGTAGTATACGATTTTTCTACTACAAGTCCTAGGATTTTAAGCAGTGGTTCAAAAACCTACTACAAGTCGTAGATTGCATACGACTGTTATAGACAAGTCGTAGGGGCATTTACACTGCGCGATTCAAGTCGTATACTACAAATCGCACGAGACAATCGTGCCGTGTAAATCAGTCTTTACGCATTCCGGAGTTATGAAATTAATTGTAATTTCTGTCATATTGAGCCAATCGAAAAACTAACCATATCACTTTATCGACTTTAGTGTAGATTCCAGTTTAAGATCATTTGGACAAATATTCAATTAATGAGAAGCCGTGCAATTTACAGAGAATGTATGRAGATTTTGACCGCGTCCTCCAAAACAATACATTYTCTGTTAATTTATTGATGAAACCAGGAATAAATACTGTTCAGCTAGTTTTTATCCAATCGTTTTGAAACTTGATAAATTTACTAATTTTTGGGTGTCCTTTCATATGGTTCATGGGATGGGGCTTGTTTCGTGATTAGATCAATATKTCTTTGATTAGTGCCCAGTCCCCTGCGCAACACCGGAATGGATAATAAGAATCTCTTTATAGAGATTCAAATAATTATTTTTGAGAATTTTTTATCGATACAACATTGTCGATAGTGTAGGCACATCGTTTACTGGTGATTTTGAGAAATTCGCGTCGTCTGCGCAAGCGAAAAGTCGCTCATGTAGCCGGGACTTAAAAGGTAAGAAAACTATATATTTATGCATTCCATAGGTATTCTCACCTTTAGAARACGAATATTGTAACAGGTTTCGCAGCTGTCTTTGATGGRAAGGTGAAAAGTTGCTTGACCTTTATGTAAGCCCTCAAAAAGCTATAAAACACAAAGTAAACTTGAGTAGTCGAAACACTCCTTTAAGAAATTAACAGCAACATATAGGTTTATGTACAAAATATTGTGATGTCGTCAGGCACTCCAACCAAGTAGGAGATTAGGGACCATGCGCAATATTTATAGTAAGGGGAGGGCATCATCTAATTTCATGCGCTTAAAGAGGGGGCACCGTCTAAAATTAACAAGAACATTTATAATTTAACAATTATTCGCCGAAGGCAAAGTGATGATTATCAATGAATATTTACAGAGCGGCGAGCCGCGAGGTAAATATTCATTGATAATCACTGAGCCTGAGGTGAATAACTGTTTTAGTATAATTTTATAAGTGAATATTCATAAAAATAGAGAAAAAAGAACTACTGTATTTTCGTAAAATACTCGTTTATTTCGTGTTGGCTACATGCAAATTGCACACAAGAAATGCCTGCACATAGAAATGATCATGTGGCAAACTGTCAAACAAACAAGATCGATAGATGTGCAAAGCAGTTGAAATAACAATGTTTTGCTAATCGAAGAAAATATGTCAAAGAAATCAGTTAATTCTGATTTAAAAAAGCATGATAATTCAACGATTAATGTTAAAAGTGAATGAGCAGTTGTGAAAGCAGCCAGAYGGAAGAATCGCACCAGGATTAACGCCATTCTCAACCAGAAAATTCTCATCTTRACGATTGAGGTAGCTTTGCTGTAGAATTGGAGGAAGAGCAGCCACTGAAGGAAATGTAGAAGGTAGAATAGCGAGGGAATTTTGCATTTGGTTTACATCGCCGCTTAMGAAAGACGTTAGAGCTGTTGATATTTCTTTGAACTGGTTCAAGGTTGGACGGCTACAGTAGCTTTCGATGCTTGTGYCAGATCTGTGTCCAGTTATTGCTTTTATTCTACGKGTCTCGATATTCTTGGATGATAAGACTGTTACAGTAGTAGCCCGGAGAGAATGGTTTGTCAGGTATAGTGTAATTTCTGCAGCCATCGTCATGTTTTTAAGCATATTCTCCAGCATGTTGTGACCAAGTTTACGAGCGTCAAACCAAACCATGTTGCTCTCTAGGTTGAACTTGGTTGAACTTTGCTTCGGCCTTTGGAAAAGAGCATTGATATCTGGATTGAGATGGGATAAGAAGCACTTTACTACTTCAACAGGACATCGTCGAGACCCTTGTTGTGCAAATATCTTCCCGCCTGTGTGGTTTTTGCTTACAAGAACTGTTCCTTGCTAGCTTCTATTCAGCTCAAAGTATTCTTCTCCATTGTGGCTTTTCTGTAGACGAAGCATGGACTTGTTCATTTCTGCCTGGTTTTCTCTAACCCGCTTACCAAAGTACAACGATATGAAAAACCAAGCGTTTTGAAGGAGCACTCGCGAGTCGCGTGTTGTCGAGTCGCCAAGCTCACCTTTTGTAGAGAGTCTGGAMWATTTCAATTGTTAATGGATTCTTGTGGACTGTACCTGCTATTTTCCCAGTGCCACTAAGATGCTTGAGGTATGAGTTCAATGTTTTATTCGCCTCGCTAAACGTGYGGTTGTCGCAGATACTGAATCTTTTTTTATGTGGAGGGGATTGAAGATGACGGTCGAGGGCCGCTCGGATTGACAGAGAAGTCGTCTTCTTGTAGTAATTCCCATCTTTCTTCCTTTTGGACACGTAAAACTTTGATAGACACTTGTTTAATTCTGTTGTGTCCATGTCTTCAAAGCTGACTGTGAATTCAGACTGCTGTTGAAACCATTCTGTCGACGTCAAAAAATGTATCTAGTAAAATGTAAACAAACCCGGCGAAATCCTACAAATTTCACACTGTTTTGACGTAAAGCGATAGACAAGTAGTTTTTAGACAATGCTTATAAACAAAACCTACCAGTAAAAAAGTTTAATCCAAATTTTGTTGCCTGTTTTGTATTTTTTGGGATCGCATTTTCTTTTAATTCTGAAATTTCTYCCTCTGACATTTTAACAAAACGACTCGCGGCGACGCCATTTTGCGAAAAAATCCAATATTCGCCTACAGGTGAACATCGCTCATTGAAGCGTCAAATTTGACCAATCAGCGCGCTAGAATTATGATATTCACTTATAAAATTATACTAAATGCACTTATTGAAGGAGTGGGAGGGCCGTACGGGAAAATATTGGCTCGAGGTTATGTCGTACGTCCCGAACTAACTCAGTCAAGAAGTATTTTATTATGTGACAGCGTTTTTTAAGCCATTTCTTTGATTAAAACTTCAAGCCGGGAACATACGGGTTTGTACGGCCCTGTCAACGAAAAGGCGCACGGCTTCATCACGTCACCATTTTCCAAATGTTTTTTTTAAGAGCCCGCGTAGGGCCGAAATACGGGTCATATGATAAAGTCAGGGCCGTAATCAGAACTTCTACCAGGAGATGCACATCCGATAAAACCGGAACAATGTTGGCCTATATTATTAGTAGAACTTTCAGTATATAAAGTGTTTATGAAATACASAACATCGTATTACAACTTATATAGCACTTATTAATTAGTGTTTTCGATTACGTTATGTTGATTTCCTATGGATTCAGTTCGAAATCCAGTTCGTTTTTAAAACATCCGGCCGATTCGTGGATAAAATCAACAAAATAAATCTAAATAAAGATTCATGTTATTTCTYAAAAGAATATGGCGATAGATTAGCGGAACATCAACTGGGAGGTTGCACGTGCACCCAGTGCACACCCCTGGTTACGGGCCTGAAATTGTAGAGCTTCTGCTAGTCTCAACGATTTAAGGAAGCTACACTATCATTGTACTCGTTTAAGTGCCCGTGTCTTTTTATCAAACCGAGGTAACAGTTGAGCTAATTAGCTTTATTCTTAATTTACTTTTAACTGGCTAAGGACAACATTACAGTCTCATCTGTCTCGCTTTGATGGAAAGCCAATTTTATATATCTTTTAATATGGAAATGGAGAAATGGAAAAAAAAATKGCAGTCATACCGTTGGGTTTCTATCTTTATCGAATGACCACTTGTGAGTGTCAGTAACGTATTCAAACTTAGTAAAACAGCGTATTCCTTTTTCTTCGATGGTATCCAATGCCTGTAGGGCGTTGTTCAGCTGAAGAATGCCTTGGAGCTGCCCAGTGGTCGGAGCTGCCTGGGTTGCAGTTCGCTGAAATCCAATCAATGTTTCACTGACAGGCCAGAGTGTGCGAAACTCAAAGCTTTTGTACAGCAGCAACAGTTTCTCTAAAAATGTAAGTTCCATGTTCTGATAAGAAGTCAGGAGATCGTCAAGWAACGTTTGTTGGATAGCCTCAGCAATGGGAGATCCTAGATCGGTGAAATAGGAAGTAAGAAATCTAAAAATTTATGTTGATACATTATCGGAAATCAGTGGACAGAGAAYCAASAGGAGGAGCAGACGGGGTCTGTTCTTCTAAATATCTGTTCTTGTGCGGATTTTTTCCTGGGACGGGGATTTTGAGCTACATTGTTGACAATCTCACAAGCAAATGTTGCGCCCTTCCTTCTTTTAAATAATTTTTTGACTGGCAAACGTTGTTTAAAGTCAAAAAAGGCTTTTTACGTTTTTTTTTTGGTCGAAAACTGCTTATATATTTATTTAGTTAGGATTGTTTCCTAGAAAAAAAATTCTTAGAAAGTATGGCTTGCCTGGAGAGGTTTCCCTGAATTTCTCAATAGCAACCAGTTTTGTGACTTACAGCTTGCTGGGAAATAAGAACAGATATATTTATTCCAGGAAGCCGCCGGTTCCTCCTAAATCAAGGACAGAGTCGGTGGTTGTTCTGGATCGTGTTTTCGTTAGAACAATCTAGTATGAATGTTCTACAGGTGATTTTAAGTTTTATGWAAAAAGAACAGACAAAAAAACGTCTTACCATCATTATTGCTAAGACTTTCGAGTTTGTTTGCTGTCTCTTCCAAATTTGGTATGTTGAAGTTGTGGCCACCGATGTCATTGTCTAAATCAATGATTTTTGCGATGAGGTCAATCCTTGCAGACCCGGCAATGAAGAACCTTTCGATTTGTTGTTTTAATTCTGCTGTTTGGTGTTCTTGTAACCGTCCCTCGAGCAAACACACGAGACCAGCTGCAAGACCCTCTTTGTTCATGTCAAGATTTGCCTTTGTACCAAAAAAAATATGCGAAATTTTTGAATTGACTGAAGTTTTCAAACATAGTTAGCTTTTGTAATGCTGTAAAAGTAGTGCATACAGCAAAGATAGTTGGAATTAACCGTAAAATAAGATAATACTATCTACAGAAGTGTGTGTAACACAATTGATAGGTTAACTCGAAAGAGTTCGATTTTGATCCTCGATCATAAATTATATGTTTTCGCCCAATGAACGCTGACTCGTTTAAAGTTTGAGGTGTGTGTCATCCTCAAAATATCAATCTTCGGTCAGCCATCATATAGCATGTTCTTTTATTGCATTATCACATATTATATTATATCATAGTACACTCTCTCTAATTTGTCAAACATGAATTGCTTATTTCACCGCTAAAATGCACGGATGCGRAAATGCTATGATAAACAATAAACAACACATTTCCTTGCGTTCCTGGTTTAATAAATCACTTGGGATATTGGGAAAACACTCAAAAGGCTGAGAATGCCCCACGCGCTCGATTTATTTTATTTTTTTTTTACTTTTTCGTGTTCTCCCAACAACCCGTGTGGTGTATTGCATTTATTTCATTAGCTTTGCCATGAAGGGATACATAAACTGGAAAATAAAACTTCGTTAATAAATACAGTGGACAACAAACTGACCCAAACTATGTTATAAAAATAGTATAGTTTAAAAACGCCTCCTATAAACACATTTTACATCAAAACACGAACATAGATACAGATTGTTTAGAAGAAGTCAATTAAAGTCTGTTTTTTAAYCAAAAACTGCAGTCAGTAATTATAACGACAGTTCGTGGGTGTTTTAAAATTCGATTGAATTTTGTAATATTTTCGAAATAGGGCGAACTAAATTYAGGAGATTCAAGGTCTGAATGGGGTTAACCGACTAGCGACAAATGGACCAAAGAACAACTGATTATCGACAAATTTGAACTGAAACATTTTGACTACAGACAAGAACATATTTACTGACTGGCAGCATTTCCCAAAATAATTATTTTTTTCACAATATTCAAAGACAACTACATTCAAAATTTTGCTTCGGATTAGTGTCTTCTGAGAATTTTGATTGACCAMTCTGAAACTTTGATGAGTGGCATTCAATTGACCAATTAACTAGAACCTCTTAGTTCGCGAGCGACTAAGATATTTCGAATTGCTTTTTTGTCTCAAGTCTACAATACTGTTGGACCTATAGTAAATAAGTTGTTTAAGGTCCTTAAATTATCTCCTATCGTATATATTGTTTTTTCTTATACGAGTGTAATATTTCATTTTGCTCAATTCAGCTGTTGACATTTGAGAATAGTGAGTGACGTTTTTGACACCATTTTGTTTCGGTAGGCAAAGTCCCGCAAAATAACAAGGATACAGTGTGAAATCGATGTCAAATAAAACCAGTTGAATTCCTATTCTAAAATTATCATTGATTTTTTCAGAAGTTAGATACTACAAAAAGGAGTTGGGCGGAGGAGGGAGCGTGTAAATTCATTTGAAATGATTCTTTGTAATTTCAGGGGTTATCGGCGCGTGTTATGCGTGAAAAATATTCAGGATTCGCTCTTGATTTCCTATAGAAGATTCATTTAATAGTATTCCCTCTGGCTCTTGATTTCCTATAAGAGATGCATTTAATAGTATTCCCTCTGGCTCTTGATCTAGAAGATTCACTCATAAGTTTCCTCTCAATTATAAAGTCTCTCAAAATATGAACTCGGTGTAAAGTTTCTCTAAGAAAAACKTCTCGTAAAGTTTGGGTTTTTTTCATATAAATATGCTCCAAATATCCAAATTGTGCAGTTATAGTCTCATCCCAGTGTAGTTTTAACAGTAAAAGTTGCCCCAGTCAATGAAAACCCGTAGACCCAAGAAATCAATTATTGACATTTTAGAATGCATTATGTAGATGCATTCAAACCTAATGTTTAACAATTTTYTTAGATAACCGACTACCGACAAATGCCTAGAATTTTAACTGACTACCACAAGTGCTTGAAATTTTAACTGACAACCGACATCGAGAGCCTCCCCTCCAATTTTTAGCCAATGAAACCGTGTGTAACATTTTAGCTATGATAATAATAAGAAATAAGAAACATGCTTGTTTCGATCGCCGGACAATCGACGAGCGCCAATGTCCGTGACACGGCCTTGGGAGTTGTCGCGAWAATTATGTAGTTGAAAGTCATAAAAGAAACAATAGAAACATTTCTATTATCTCAAGTAGAATGTCATATTTCTGTGAATAAAGTTTGCAAAGAAGCATTGGCTAACTCATGTATATTGAATTCCATTCACCTGCATCATTWCTGGTACAGCTCCTGGATCTAATTTATCAAAATCCAATTCACTTGAGTCCTGAAGAGCTTGGTACGCTTCGCCAAACTCTAGCCATTTGTTAATACTCCCTTTTATTTTTTCTAGGGAGCCAAGGGGGCATTTTAAAGCAAATTCCCCAATTAAACCCAGTGCGTCACCCAAAGCGCCTGATGCGGAACCTCCAGCARCAGAACCCATGAAACCAGTGACGCCTTGAAGTATTGCAAGAAAGTCCGCCGGGCTAAACTGCGCTWGACCGGTTACAKCTGGAGCAAGGTCATTTACTCGCTTCAGAGCGTCGTCCATGGTAACTTCTAGCTCCTTGATAGCCTATCAATGAAGGTAAAACGTCATTAACCTTTCATTGACCGAACATCATTCAGAAAAGACTGCAACATGTATATATGTATAAACCACGAAAAAAGAAAGTGTGACAATAACATAAAAAAAAAACGATCGTATAAATGGCAAACCTCCTTTTTTATAACGATACATTTCTTTTTTTACAAAATCTTTAGATATATAGTACTGACATGTAATTGTTTCCATCTTTGTTGTGAATGTCTATTTTATCTTTGTTCAGATCTATTTAGTGCTCTATTTTTTATAAGATTTTTATAGATTTTTCAAAGATTCTAGGGAAGGACTAGCTAAGGCTTGTCTCTTAGTTTATAAAATGAGAATTTGTACAGATTGTTTTATATTTCTTAAATATTCTAGCGTACCGGTACATAAAGGTTTTTCTCGGTACATGATATGTTCCTGTCTTGAATGAGTCTTGCTTTTTGAGCATTAACTTGAGCTAAAGCTGATTGTGGTACTGCTGTTAATATCTGTTCGGTGGCACATTTCCTTTGAATGGCTTGCTGTAGCTCATTGTAGGCATCTTCGTATACCCTTGCATAAGATCGAACATTCAGAATCTCATCCTTAAAGGTTTCCCATCTTAAAAGGGGTGCGAAAAGTTTATTTCTACCAAATCTGTCAAATCYGTCCTTGTTCAAAAACGCCAACCTTCGCTTTGCAGCTGAAAAAAAAGAGTAAAAGGTATATCATTGCACAAACAGCTATTTCATAAGACGTTGAACAAGAGAARATATCAGTAGTATCCCTTTATGCTTTGCGCGCGTGGTTTGTTGACAAAAATGGCTATTATTTCCGGTGATATGCCTGGTAGTAAGTTTCCGGTCCAGAAAGATGTATTTTTTGCATCTTAACAAGGGAAGTTCCGAAGTTATTTGCGGTCTGATTAATTTTTTGAAGTAATGTTTGTTTTACGTATGAGAAAATTCCTGTTTTGTAGTTGACATTCGCGGATTCAATTCTAATTATATAACATGACGATCGGTTTAAAAAAAGTGCTGTTTTTACACCTGTTCTTTGAGCTATTTAAGTTTAGTTAAGTCAGATCTATAGAAAACAATTCATACAAAGGTACAGTCAACAAAGTCTCAAAAATTCTCCATGATTTCAAATGCTAAATAGAGCCATTGAAAACCATTGAAATATGCAAAGTTCAGGAGAATCGCGTATCTTGATTAGGCGCAAGGTTGATATTAGCAAGCTATGCTAACAGTTTCAGCCACACARAAAAGTTGAACATAAAACACACTGAAATACGACTGTCAAAGTACACATTAGTATATGTTTGAACCTTTTTTGAACGATTTTMAATATAAAACATGTCTAAAAGAACAAACTCGTGTCATCGTAAGCTTATTAAAATGAGCTTACTATACAAATCGCATTTGGTTTCTTGTTACATGCAGCATTGAAACTAAAAACTCTACTCCATAAATACCATAAAACAGAAAGCAAACAACTAATGAACAAAGTAAGACTAACTGTTTATTTATAAAACAATTTGTTGTGATGCAAAAAAAAAAAAAAACACAACAACTTTGGTTTAACAACAAAGCCGATCGACTTCAGTTCTAAGCTCATTTCAAGTAATTTCAAACAATCAAAACAAGTTTTTACTAACCTCTAAATCTGACGAAATAAAAACACKKACTAAAGTAGGAATTCTTATTTTATCAAACAGTTTTTCAACCTTTTGACTGTCCACAGCAACAGGAATCAAAGCAACTCKCCTCTTCGACAATTTCCTTATCGATTTCARTCATCGACAAAACTGTCCAATTGTCGACAAATAAGGTCTAAAACAACAATTCCTTTTATCGATACGTGAAAATTGTTCAAGATTCCTTACACAATGAATGTTTAAAAAAAAGAATCTTTGAGAGTTTCATCTCTACAATCGAAATTCTAGAGATGAAATTGACGAACGGGTCAAAGTTTCCCGCCATTGATCTTCACTCGGCCAAGACCAAAAACAAGTGATGACGTCACATAAAAACCGGTAATATAGCCTGAAACGCAATGCATTGTGGGGTACTACTGTTCCCTCCTTTGACGTTGAACATAACAATAGTGTATTCAAAGACCAAAACGCATTGTGGGTCGTTTTATCGCCATATACTAAAAGGAGATATCGTTGCCCCGTTCAGTCAAGAACTTCAAATAAAAAGCAAATAAGTTTTAGAATTGTCTTTTTTTCAATTTAGCTAACGTGGATCARTTTTATATAAGCAAATATTGTTACTCGATGTTATGTAAAATAGCTGTACTATACGTATTGATTTATGAATATCTAAGCTRTAACTGTTAAAAACAAAAAGCAATGTATAAGACTTGTATATAGTATTGAAAAATTGTAAGTTATGTGAGTTTATAACCCTTGTTTTTTTGTTTAGAAAATCAATTATTGTAGAAAAATGATTGAGAAAGCAGTGAATAAAGTGTATCATATGAATATATATGACGAAATAATTATCTTCTCACTTTCAAAATATATATGAAATAACATATTCAAGATAAACAGAATATCACATGGTCTCTTGAAATAGATAAAATCCATATTTGTCCCATAYTATATATTCTTCTATAACTTACTATAACAGTTAACATACTTTTTAGAAACTCGGATGCATCTTCCCTTCCTTCTGTCAAAGTGACAAGAAATTTGAGAATATTTTCTGCCTTCTCAATGTTATTAAGCCAGATGTTATCCTCAGCGAGTCCTGCCAAGATCTTGATCAGCGGCAAAGGGAACTTTTCCAATTGGTTTTCTAAAGAATGTTTTTTCAAGTCGCCCCTCTTTATTGCTGCACCATTTAATCCAGGACCAACCTCAGCTAAATATGCATTAAAATATGAGTTAAATACATGACAATGAAAATGAAAGAATTGTTACTATCAATAATCATCATATATATGCATAGAAAACCTCAGATGTGGAATCATACAAGAACAAAAGGAGAAACAATTGTTAAACTCAACTCTTCCCATCTCTTCCGTTTCTTCCAGTAGACCGTCTGAATAGTTAATGTCGCCTTTATAGTCACAAAAGGTAAACGTTCCCATCTGACTCGCCTGTATTCTTCTTTTACATCTTACCCCACGGCCTGCTTTCCCCCCAGCACCACCTGAAAGAAAAACTTCATCCTGTCAATCATGATAAGGGCAGACAGCAAGCGAACTGCAGATGGAGCTATTGCTCACTTTTAGATAACATCTACATCGTAACCTTCACTAATTGGATTTCACAGGTCGACCGCAATTTATTAGAACTAAGCACCAGCTCACAGAACTCACCAGCTCCTCCCTTTCCATTAACAGATGCGGAACCTCCATTTCCTCGACAKGTTTTTAATTGTATATTCCCTTTTTGTTTATTGGWGAAGATTCTTGTCYTCCCAGGATTACCACCTTTGCCTGTGTGCAAACGAATCGTTGAATAAATTCCTCAATAACTTGATTTATATTATAGGCAAGGGCGTCAAGACAACCATAAMAGTTTTTGAATGATGTTACGATTGTTTTTGTTATTGCTTTTTAAAAGTATCTTACAAATTCACTTATCTGATTTTTTGTGTATATCTTGAGTGTATCCCGAATTCCCTTGGAKAGATARATAGATTTTTGGCGATTGGTGGGCAATTTTCTTCACTCCAAAAGGTCAAAAGCTGTACGTGTTTATTTCGGTACGCCACGTTATTTAACGGCCGTTTATTACGTACTGATACGTACCGTCCGCTTATACAACCGCGCAATTTACTCTTCGTCACTAATATAGTTAATGTAGCTAAGGAATTTACCTTAAGTTACATGTAAATCATGTATTTTACAGATTCTKCGATCAGTATCTGTGCTTCAAAGAATGCATGATGAGCATGTAGATTTAGATATTTTAATCTTAAAAGATTAATGAAATTCTAAGATACTCAAAGCTATAACAAATACAATCGTAATATCATTCAAAAACTGTTATGGTTGTCCTGGCGCCATTGTTGTRGGCAAATTAGTTCATATTAAAGATGTGCCGTATAATTCGTTTAATGCATGATCGAGGTCAAAACAATGGTTTTTAATTCATGTTATTTGTTTYGCCAAAAATTTAGTTCGGCGCTTGAACCCAAGTCAAAGAACTAGAACCTTTTAAAATATGTGTACTTATGTAGACTAGACTWACCGGATTTGCCAGCATATCCACCATCACCGCCGTTACCTCCAGTAATGCCGTTTCTGGAAGTTTTATCATTACATCCAGAATACAGTCCAATGCAATCACTACTCTTATAGATAGGTTGCTATAAGGAATGAATTAAGAAATTGGTGAGTCGTGTTTTAACATTTTCAAAGTCTTCACGTAGAGAATTTGCATGCATATCGCAATATTTTCAACAACAAGAGTCTTGCAGTTCTTGATTATAACAGTAAGAAAAATAGAGAATGCAAAAAAATAACGGAGTGTCTCAACGTCCCAGAACTAAACGTCAGGCAGWTTAATTTTTTCTTAAAAAATCGTCGGGACAACAGTAATTTCAATTAACACAACAAGGGAAATGCAATAAAGACCAAAATAATACTGTTCGACAAGTTTTGTATACACAAACACGCGGCACTTTGGGATTTTTCGACTGCCTGACGTTTAGTCCCAGACTTTAAATGTCAGGCAGTCGAATWTTTTTGGAAAAATCGTCAGAACAACTGTTACGGCTAACCCTCAGATTTGTTTACTGCCATTCATAATGACGTAAATCTTACAACGTAGAAAGAAAACGAGAAATTACAATAGAGTATATGACAAATTAAATAATACGATAGAAAATGAAAGCGATTACAAAATGATTACAAAGTTCTTACCATAGTGATGGTCTGAAGGATCAGCGATGACGATAAACGCGGTAATAACGAAATTTACAYAATTACAAGATTAAATACTGTCTGATGAGTGCGTAGCACGAAAACTCGGAGTTACAGCAAAATCTTGCCTCTTTGATATCATATATATAACTAGCTCTACACTTTATGTGTATTGAGAGCACTCTTTAATGGGATCAGCTACTTCCTCATACGATTAATTACAAGTATATAACCGAATAAGAACAATAGACTACGCACGAACGACTTGTTGAGCAGATTTCGTATGAGTGGGACACCGTTACCGCACCGTTACCGCTACTGTACCGATGTCTAAGTTTGGCCAATCAGAAAAGAGAAAAGCTTCTAAGCACCAATCAGAAATCAGACTTACTGACGGTAATACCGCACTTACGGTTACCGACCGTAATACCGCACGGCAAGAGAAATCGTCCAATCACGAAACAGAATCACCATTACTGTTACCGTTACCGTACGGCATTGGGAAAATTTGATCCAATCACAAAATAGCAAAATTTTAGAGAACCAATTGGANCCTACTATCGATTTTGTATGATTGGCAATATGAAGGAAACATTTAGCACTGTGATATTGAAGAACTATCAGAAATAAGTAATTGTGCAAAATTTTGAAGATATAGACCAAATACTAACAAAATTATGGAGGAATGAAAATACAAGGATTTCTATGAAATTCTTTACTGAAGCCTTGGTAAACCTCGTTTTGGTGTTTTTGTGCATCTTCCAACGCTTATAATTTCCAGACAATTAAATATTAATCCTGGAAACTTTCAAAGCTTATCTTYAGCTTTGATATCTATTATYTGAGTGTTTTCCTTTCTCAACTTTATGAATTTAACATTCAAAAACTCATACATAATTAATGAGTTATAAGATCAATAGAATGAGCCTATTTAGTACATGCATGGACCTTTATATCTGATAAAACACTTCTGATTAGTATTCTTTATTTCTAAAATACTTAGGATACTACGCGCGCTGTGATTGGTCGAAAACCATGTTTGATTACAGTATCAAAACACGCT